TTTTTTTTTTTTAAGATTTTATTTATTTATTTGAGAGTAAGAGAGAGAGAGAGAGGAAAAAAGAAAGACATGGCATGAATGAGCTGGGGGAGGGGCAGAGGGAGAAGCAGGCTTCCCACTGAGCAGGGAGCTTGATGTGGGGCTAAATCCCAGGACTGCGGGATCATGACCTGAGCCAAAGACAGATGCTTAACCGACTGAACCACCCAAGTACTCCAGACAAATGTTTTCTAATGGTTATTTACATCAGCTTCCTCCTTGCCACTTCCAAATATGTATAACTGCTTTAAAAGAAGAAGTCTCTAAAGACAGTTATGAACCAGACAAGTCCTGTGTGTGGGGACTTGGAGATGAGACCAGATTTCTGCACTGGAGTGTTCTCTGACATGAGAGGAAGCAAAATGCGGCTGGGGTGATATCCAGAAAGCTCTGGATTCCCACCAGCAACGGCACTATCTCTACTTTTCTGAGCTTTCTGGCAATTTCACAGCCATGGGAGAGCAACTGAGCTGTGAGTAAAATCCCCTAGCCTTTAACTGAGTTCAGAGTTTAAAGTTCTAGCAAAGTCTCTTCTAAAAAATAACAAGGGAGGGACGCCTGGGTGGCTCAGTTGGTTAAGTGTCTGCCTTCGGCTCAGGTCATGATTCCAGGGTCCTGGGATAGAGCCCCACATCAGGCTCCCTGCTCGGTGGGGAGCCTGCTTCTCCCTCTCTCTCTGCCCCTCAGCCCTGCATGTGCTCTCTCTCTCTCGCTCTATTTCAAATAAATAAAACTTAAAAAAAAAAAAAAGCAAGGGAAGGAAATTTCTGGAAATAAGTAGCACAAGGTTGCAGAATGAGACTTGCAATTTTGTCCCTTTTAAGTCAATTTTTACGTAATTTCCCTCTCTTCTTTCTTTAGATAAATGGTGACACTATAGGGTGCCCATGGAATCCTCTCTACCTGAATTATAAGGGTCTACTAACTTCTATTCCCAGTCTCAATAAAGCTTCCTTTTAAAGCCGACAGCCTGGCAGGTCCTGCATTGGTGGCAGGTCACTGAATATATTCCACGTATCCCGGGCCATACACACCTGTTATGTATTAGATGAAGGCTATTCATATTGACTCAGGAGAAGCTGACCTCCTCTTGTCCTTCTGTACAGATAAATTTTTCCAGGAAGGCTGTGCCCCTGGATCTATGCGAAATTCCAGTCTTTGTGCTCTGTGTATTGGTTCGGCAAGTGGTCCAGGAAAGGAGTGTCTTCCCAATAACCATGAGAGATACTATGGCTACACAGGGGCATTCAGGTGAGTATTTTAACCCTGACCCCAATACAGTAAGAAACCCAGCCCTGACAAGATTTCTTTCTAGGGACTAAGGTGAGAGTCTTACGTTCCTGGCCTGTTAGTCTTACACGTGTTAGAGTGCCACAGTTAGCAATCATCTGTAGAAGCCTGTGTGAAGGAGCATCCAAGCCCCTACAAGACACCCTCCAGACTGGCAGAACGGTGCAGATCAGAGGTTCTCAGTAGGCAACAATTTCCCCTTTGGGGGAATTTTGGCAGGGTCTAGAGACGTTTTTGATTATCAAATGGGGTTGGGTGCTATTGGTATCTAATTGGTAGAGGCTGCTAAACATCTTACATGCATAGGCTAGCACCCTACAATAAAGAACAGCATGGCTCAAAATGTTACTATTGCCATGGTGAGGAAACCCTGCCATAGTTGAATACAGGAGTCAGGGTTCTGGCTCATGCTCTTCCATGCACCTTTGGGGAACCTAGAGCCAGCCATACTCACCTGGGAATGTACAAAAGTAAAGAACATGATTTCTACATTCCCAAATGCAGTTCTATTTCATGGGATGTTTATTACTTTTATAAAGACACCTGTGCACCTTATGACCTTATTACCTTTTTTAAAGATTTTATTTATTTATTTGACAGAGAGAGAGAGAGAGAACGAACAGAGGGAGCTGCAGAGAGAGGGAGAAGCAGGCTCCCCAATATGTGGCTTGATCCCAGGACCCCGGGATCATGACCTGAACCAAAGGCAGACACTTAACTTACTGAGCCACCCCAGGCACCCCGACCTTACTACTTTTTAACTGTCTTTTCTGATCCAGACTTGTGTTAGTAGTTCAGGAGTCCATCAATGGCACAATGATAGTGGTATTGTAATTGAGCTTCTCTGTAGTGAAGGAGAAAACAAAGGTTATCCTAATTCTCCAGTTAGAGCCACCTTGTGAGTTTGTGCAAATGCAATTCACAGTCCACAAGTTTCCAATTTTTACAAAGTAGAATGTGAGTAGGGAATCACCTTAATGGAACACTGCCCCTCTAATACCTCTATTGATGACAGGGAAATGCTGTAACTCCACTGTGCCAGAAGTTAGCGTTCAGTGTGTGGGAACTGAGATTGCATGACCACAAAGCAAACTGGAGGTTTTTCTTGTCTGTATTACTTACAGGAGTAATATATAAGATTAGTGATAGAATGGGAGTCACAATTGCTGATATCGGATGGTTAGCCCTGGGTCTACAAGCTGACTCTCCTGAATGACACATGTGTCTCTGACCTGCTCTCTTCTTTCTCCCTGTCTGGCACTCTGCAGGTGTCTGGTGGAGAAGGGAGATGTGGCCTTTGTGAAAGACCAGACGGTCATGCAGAACACTGAAGGTACATTCACATGCTCCTCTGTCCCCACAAATTGGGGTTGCTGGGCTCACTTATGCTCAGGATGTCTTTGTGGATGTGTTAGGGACTCTGTTAGGCTCCAGAGCTCTGATTCTCAACCTGTTTGTTCAGTAAAGACAGAGGTGTTTATCGGGGTAGGCAGAATAGTGAGGACCGTGAGGTTCTGGTGGTTCTGAATTCTCTTCCAGGAACCTTCCCATAGGTGCAGACATTGCCTTTCCCTTAAATACTTCAGAGCACATTTCCCAAGAATGAGGACATTCTCTTACTTACCTACAATGTGATTACCAAGATCAGGAAATTTAGACTAACATGGATTTAATACTCACTGTGTTCACAGTCCATATTCAGATTTGGGTGAATTATTCCCAAAAGGTCCTGTTTAACTATTTCCTATATTTCTGCATCCAATACATATTCCAAATAAATTCTAGGTCCCCTGAAAACACATAGAGACAATAGTACACCAGTGGGAATGAACACCAAGATCTTGGTTTCTAGAACCATTGTCCAATAGGATGAGCCAGGGCCCCTTGGAAAAATAGCTGATTCTAGGGCTGGGTAGGAAAAATGAAGGTGAGCCTGGAACATTGTGCTGAAGATGTTGGGATATGTCAAAATATACAGGAGCCATTTTTAAAGCCCTCCTACTGGCCAAGTCTGGGACATCTTGAACACTAAAAGAAATAATAATGGTAGTAAGAATAAAGTAGGAAGAACATAGGAATACATGAGTCTATCCTGATTAAACATATGAAGGTGAAGGGAAAGATCTTCCTTATTGTAGAACAAGAATAAGTGTAGAAATAATCATGAAGTTAAAAAAACTATCATTTGGCAAATAATATAGTAATAATTGTTGCAAGCAAGAAGCATCAGTGGGTACTAAAACTAGTGGGTGAATATTAGATGCTGTGACACTGAAACACCAAACAATTTTTTTTTAAGTTGGTAAGAATGAGCATTCCACCTACCCCCTCTGTGTCACTAACTGCTTAGAGAACCCGCTACAGGCCAGGCAGATATTACCTCACTTCCTTTCTCATGTCCCTGCGCCCAACCTCAGCTCTTCCCGGAAACTCGCCTAGAGTGAACTAGCTCAGCACTGACTCCTCCGAGAAGCCTTCTCAGATGGCATCCATCCCACAATAGAATCTTCTGTCCGTGTGGCTAGCATTATTGAGTTCATCTCATTCTGTGATAAACTGTGGCCACAGAAACTCTTTTGAGCTCTTTTTTTCCCTCTTATATCCCAACACTAACTATACTAAATGGCACACAGAAGCTGCTAAGTGCTTACTTGAACGAATACTGTGCTGGCTAATTTTTCTTTCTTCTCTTCTATTATTTTTGCTTTTTCCTTTAAAGGCTGTCTTTTTTCCTACTACCTGAGTGTTACCCTAAGATTGGTTCTTTGTTATCCCTTGAAAAAAATTTTGGGGGGTACTCCTCTGAGTGGGGCTTCTTTTGGCTTCGCCTCTCTACCCTGCAATGACTCCAAAAGCCTTACACCCTGACAGCAACATACAGCAGAGGCCTAACCTCCCATCTAAATAACATCCCAGAGCCTCTAATTGCCATGTGGTCAGTTTTATGTACAAAGCTCATTGGCACTGCAACCTCAGTCTCTGTAAGCCCAAACTCCTCATATTTCTCTCAAAATCCACTACTCTTTTCACAGCCTCTGTCCCTGTTGAGGACTTTATCATGTGCCCTGCCAGTCAGGCCTAGATTAGTCTCTTGGTGGTCAGTACAGTGGGCAGTACGTGTAACACACCTTACACGCCTAAAACCATGCCTCCTCCAGCCAGCTTTCCCTAATGAATATGTTCTCACCAAGCTGGTTCGGCTCACACAACATGCAGAATGTGCTCCACAAAGTATAAAATATTATATATGTTTTATTTTGTAGAGCACACATTATATATATTATATATATATGGGTACAGATATATATATATGTGTGTGTGTGTGTGTATATATATATATATATATTTTTTTTTTTTTGTATGTGAGCTGTTTTCCTCCTCCAATAAGACTGCAGCTTGCAGAAGGCATGCAACATAGTGTTGAGTAAATTCTTACATTATGAAGTGGAACAGAATTGGTTTGGAGAGAATGATGGTGGGTTTCATTTGGAAGGAGCTGAGTTGGAGGGACTGGTAAGAAAGGGAAGGAGAAATATTAGAAGATGAGCAAAGATGTATGAAGTTACTTGTGGGAGAGGCACAGGCAATTCGGAGTTTTCTATTAAAACTGTAAGTATATATTTGAGGAGAGTAGGCAAAGAGGTATTTTTATTTTATATATAATACATAATTTTATGATAGTGAAGTCACATATTAGTTGCTCAGATAAAAAATTAAATGAGCATTAAATAAAGAAAAAGATTTGCAATTCTGCCTTTTAGATGAGAACTAAAAATTGGGAAAACATATTTCAGAATTGCCTCAGGAGGAAGGTGCTGAAACCCTGAAAATGGGTGCGATTTTCTTTTTTTTCAGAGAGAATACAGAAATCATGAAGCTAGGGGCTAAGAACAGGGTACAGATCTGTATGCATAGAGGCATGTGCACATTTTCATGTAGAACCAGTATGAGTGTGTCAGATTTAGAACACTCATCTGGTTTGCAAAAGGGCCTTTGGGAAAGTTCTTTTGCTTGCTAATGCCAGATGGTATTGCACAGAGATTATGAGCCTGCTTAGAGGGTCGCATTCTTCATATGGTAGAGTAATAAGCCCAGATGCTTTGGAATTCAGTAGAAATGAAGATGTTTTTGAACATCATCCAAGAATATATAGCTCACTTTCTCCTGGTGAGGCGGGGCAGTTAGTTTGGGAGAGGTGGTTGCTAGGAATTCCTGGTTGAGTGTGAGTTGAATATGACCTATGTAGATGTGAGTGTCTTCCTCTCCACTTCACTGTGACCCCAGTGTGTGTACTTCTGCTGGCCAATGGCCCCAGGTCCTTCACAAGTCCGTGAGTTGGTCACCCCCCCCTCAGTGAGGGCACCTTGACCAAAGCTGTAAGCTGTGATTGGCCCACCTTCTCTGTCTCCAGGAAGGAACACTGAAGATTGGGCTAAGAATCTGAAGGAAAAAGACTTCCAGCTGCTGTGCCCTGATGGCAGTAGGAAGCCTGTGAGCGACGCTGACAACTGCTTCCTAGCCAAGGCCCCAAATCATGCTGTGGTCTCACGGAAAGATAAGGCATCTTGTGTTAGCAAAACATTACTTGAGCAGCAGGTATGGACCAGCCAGGGCCTCCCATTCTTTCCTCCTGGGTGGGTATTATTTTGGGGAGTTCAGTGTTAAATGCAGCCCATACTCAAGCATTCTCCCTCTGGAAACTAAAATAGGGAGGCTGGTTTCTTAGGCTCAGCTCTACTTATAACTCCAGGTCGCTGGAGATTAGCTCCCATGTGATCCACCTGTTTTGGGTCCACACATCTGCTTTCTTGCTCAACCCTGACCTTGCTCTGTGGTACACTCAATTTTCTCCACCTCTATCCTTTTTGAAAACGAAGGAGAGTGATCCTGAGTGCCAGCCCTCCATGATATAAGTCATGAAAGGTGGACTGTATTTCTCTTGTTTAGAGAGACCAAGAACCATTCCAACAGCCAGAAAAATACAGGATCCCTGTCCTCAGGGAGCTTGCCCTCTGGGGAGAACAATCAATCCAGGGCAGCACTGCCAGGGAGGTGGGGGTTGGGGAGGCTGCTTAAATATTCTAAGCGTCCTCTACCCACAAACACCATTTTCCCCTCAACAACAGCTTCCTGCCTGCCATTAGTTGTTCTTTTTTAAAATTAAGATAGCATATCTTTATGGGTCCTCTTAAGGTAAATAATAATAATTAGCATTCAATGGACATTTTTAGGTGTTAGATGTTAAACTTTCCATATTCATCATTTCATTATAATCCTACATTCATTCATTATAATCCTACAAGACCTAGAGTTAAGCCTCGTAGGATAGGATCAAAGATGCAGTCAGACATGAAATTTAACAACTACCTGTACCACCCCTCATTGGGGGTGGGGGCTCACATTTACTATCTTTTTTAACAGTAATACTTGGAAGGGACATGTTTCTGCTCTCTCATTTCCTGGAAGCAGTCCCCGAGGCCATAACCAATGAAATGGGGAAGGAGTGACTGGGTGGGTGGGAGGGACCTCCCAGAGGAGGTGAGACCAGGATGAACCCTACAGAGGATGCTGGGGCCTCGAGAAAGCATGAAGCTGGGGCCAAAAATGGGTGAATGCCAGGTGAAGGGTATGGAAACACCCTGAGGCATCCTTTACAGCTCCCTTTCATCCCAGGGCTGGTTCCCAGCTTCTATCCCCCTCAACCCCATCCTTGTATTCTCAGCTGCTCGCTGCCACAGGTCCTCATGCATTTTCCATCCATTTGACAGGCTATGTTTGGAGGAAATGGAAATGACTGCTCGGGCAAGTTTTGTTTGTTCCGCTCGGAAACCAAGGACCTTTTGTTCAGGGACGACACAAAATGTTTGGCCAAACTTCCAGAAAGCACAACATATGAAAGTTACTTAGGAGCAGCGTATGTCACGGCTCTTGCTAACCTGAGACAGTGCTCCACCTCGAGTGAGTAGGGGGAAAGCATGGGGGAAGCTGATAAGCAAACACAGGGAGGGAGAGGGAAGCATTTCTGGGTGGTGGGTAGATAAGGAGGAATGGGTTGTGGCCCTCCAGGGATGAACAATGGAAATGGGCAAGATGAGATGATGAGAGAACACGGTAATCCCCGCATGTGTGAAAGGCTACTTGTATGGGTAGATGGTAAGGCAGACACAAGCTCAGGGCACTAAGGTAATGAACCACTCAGACATGAAGAAATTCCATATTATTACTAAGACAAGGAAGAAGCTGCATGTGCCCATGCCCATTGCTCTGTAGAAACTCTTTTTTTTTTTTTTAGATTTTTATTTATTTATTTGACAGAGAGAGATCACAAGTAGACAGAGAGGCAGGCAGAGAGAGAGAGGAGGAAGCAGGCTCCCTGCCGAGCAGAGAGCCCAATGCGGGACTCGACCCCAGGACCCTGAGATCGTGACCTGAGCCAAAAGCAAAGTCTTAACCCACTGAGCCACCCAGGCGCCCCAGTAAACTCCTTTTTATACAGAGCTGCATCATCCAGTAAATACAGTAGCCTCTAATAATCTATGACAATTTAAATTTAAATTAATTAAAATTAAACAAAATTAAAAATTTAGTACCTCAGCCACACCAGCCACAATTCAAGTGTTCAATGGCTACACGCAGCTCCAAATAGGTGAGCAAAGAGAAAGTTTCCATCATCGCAGAAAGTTCTTTTACACAGCGCTACTCTTGTGAGCTTAACAATGACAAGTTTTATAACCATAAAGTTGCTATACATACTGCTCATCTAGAACACCATTTTTCTAAGCATTACAATACAATAAAACACACCTTTGCACTATAACTATGTTGGACATCATTTAATCACTTGAAATCATATGGAAGATGTGGGAGAAGAACATGTGGATGGAGGGAGGTTGTGCTATAACTTTTGTGTGCATGTAAGTGAGCCATGGTCCTTAAAATACTGATTCCCAGGCCCTGGGGATACTGATTCAGCAAGTCTGTGCCAGGGTCCCATAATTCCAATATAAGGAATGCGCTTACCCATAGCCACTGCTGTAAACACCTAGGTTACATTCACCTACCCTATATGCTCCATAAGGGGAGAAAGTCTGGCTCTGCTCTTCTCTGCTCCTTCTCCAGCCCCTAGCAATGGAAACTGGCATGTTCTAGGTGCTTGCTGTATTAGTTCCTCACCTCTCTAAGGAGATCAGAGAGGACAGTTCTACCAGGTTCCTCCCAGCTACATGGATTTAGGTGTGGGAGCCCTGCCTATGAGACACAAGGTAGGGGATGATACAGGGCAGGGAAACCATGTTACCATCCTTGCTGTGTGGTACTGCCCAGAAAGACACAGGAGCTGTGCAGGCAAGTGGAGAAGGCTACTGGGAGAACGGCCTGGTCCACCTATCAGACCCCCAATGGGTCTGAGTGCTTTTATATCAGGCTTAACTAATCATTCACTCAACAGAAAATAAGTATAATAGGTTTTTGACAGCCCTACCTCTCTTCTCTGTCCCACAGAACTCCTGGAGGCCTGCACTTTCCACAGATATTAAAATCCAAAAGATGGAGCCACACCAGATGGAGATGGGAGCTCTCGTGACCCATAAGCCTCCCTCTGGGTCTCACTGGCCTGAATGGTTTGTTTGGTTTCACAGTTCGGCAGTGGTACCTCTGTAGAACATAAAATAAAAATTATTATTGGTGTTATCTTTTAAAAAACTTCATTGTTTTCTAAATGTTTGGCCTGGAAGGATTTTTTTTTTTAAAGTACTGACTAAATACATGTGCAAATGAGCCCTTCCTTCAGAGCTTAATGTTCATCTGACCCCTTCCATAGCTTTGGTCTTGGTGTTACGGCCACACCTCCTGGGTACAGTTCAAGTAGAAATTCTTTCTGAAAGGGGTCTGCATGCTTACTGTAATAGAATCAAGTGTATGTGGCTGTATGTGTGTGTGTTGCTAGCAAGGGGTTAGGAAGGAGAGTGAGATATTGAGATGGAGTGTTCAGAAGAGGACAGAAAAAGAATATAGAAGACATATATTTTTTAAATATTTTAAATGAATTTCATCAGGTATATTGAATCAGGTCCTGATTCTAGCAGGTCAGAAAAGTGAACCACTGGAACATCTGAAATTATCGCTTGACCCTGATTCCCACAGTAGTCACTGCCTTGTCTCCTCACTCTTTCCACACCTCACTTATTAATGGTTGAATACCCAGAAACCGGTCTTCTGCTCCACTCACTTCCCTGCAGCTACCCTGGCCAAGGTCACCACCCATCTGCCAACTGTGAAAACCAATTTTAATTCTTTCAATCCTGAGTCTGTTAACTGCATTTGATACCGCTGACCACTCACCAATCACATGACTGGAGTCCCTGAGTCTAAGATCGTTTCCACCATGCTTTGGAGCTACTGGGAATAGAAGAGGGGAAAATATGTCTGGTAAATGAGACATTATAATTAATGGAAGAGATGGGAAAAATTGCATCACTACATTTATTTCATTGTAACTCTCCATTTGCTGTTTGACTGAAGAAGCACAACACTTTCAGCAAGCAGCAGTGAGTATCTGCCTGTCCTTCCTCTGGGTTCATCTCCACATACCTCCTGGAAGTGTGTGTTGGTGTGGATGTGAGAGGACAGGAAGCAGCTGATCCTCTCCTGCTCTGATTCCTGAGAACCGCACCACCTTCCCACTTGAGTGTGGAAGGCGTGCCCATTTCTTCTGCCTTTACCCAGGAAATATACTGGAAATAAAAAAAAAGTGTGTCTTCTTAAAACCTTCTTTCTTTCATCATTCCCAAAATTTACCACCAAGGCAGATCTTTCTCATTCACATAGCTCTGACTAAAAATTCTTACACAGTTGGGATAGTAATGGTACATGTTCCCCCCTTTGGCCCTTCCTCCTTCCCTTCAGCTCCTAGCAGAGGAATCAATGGTTATTGTAAAGGAGCTCTGTGTGTGTGTGTGTTTGTGTGTGTGTGCACACACATTGTGGGTGGTGGATACAGAGCAGGGCCCAGGACCACAAGAAAGAAAGAAAAAGAGAACGTGGTAAAATTACTATGATTTCTGATAGTCTTAACTGATAATGCTAATTTAAAATAAAGTAGTCGGTTTACTTTCTTTAGCCTTACATCTGAAATATCCTTTCTTAACCTGGAGTCCCCATATGCCTACATTTATCAATGAAATGCCTGGAAAATGAATTGTACTATGTTAGAGCATACAGTTAAGCATAAAGGAGCCCACTGCCTGGGCTTAATGGATAAGTTATTTAACCCTTGCCTCATTGGCCTCTGTAAAATAGAATAATGGGTTGCTGTGAGGATTAAGTAAATTAATAAATTAAAATGATTTCAAACAGTGCCTGGTAATAGCAAGCACTCATTAACGTTAGCAATTACCATCTAACCCTCTTCTCCATCTATCTGTCTTGTTACCAAACCCATCTCTCTACTCCATTCCTCCCCTCACTCTTCCCTCCAAGTTTGTTTTTCATTCAAGTCCTCATCATAGGAGCCCCTTTGTTACAAGAACTGCTGCTGACCACTTCCAGGACATGCCTTACTCCTGTGCCACTGACTCTTCCTTTGTAGGTATCTTTGTGGGTTCCTTTCTCCTCACTTTTCATTCCGTCCCTGATTTTAATGACATCTTACTTATTATGCTTGAAACTCAGAGGAAAATATAACACCTATTGCTGAGACTTTACATCTGTTTATTCTATCACCTGGTTAATACAAGATTTTAAAATGCCCTGAGGCACCTGAAACTCAATATATAAAAAAGAGAGGAAATTTTCATTCTGGTTATGACCTCAACCCCTCTAGTTCACTTTATGCACTCTGATCTTTTTAGTATAAAACATCAACTACTTCAGATGCAGTCTTGGTAACTCTCCATCTTAACTCAGCACACCCAAATAATCACCGCATCCTATATATTTTCCTTCTACACATCTTTCAGATCTTTGGTCTCATTCCACACCTACACCTGTTTTCCTGGTTCAGACCCTGCACATCTTTTGCCAAAACACAGCAACAACTCCCAGCTGGTCTCCCTGCCTCAGTCGTTCCTCTCTCAAATCACCTTTCTCCATTTATCTGCCAATCATCTCTATTACCCCCAACGAAAACTTCTTATCCCATTCTGGATGTTGTCTAGGTTCCTCAGCATAGCACACAATCACTTCAGGTCATACCTGCCAACCTTTTCTGCTTCATCTCCTGCCACTTCCTCTGAAATGACATCAGCTTAGTGACAGACTGCAAACTAGCAGCTCCTAGGTGGGCCACTTCTGGGCCCCCAAGGTGTTTTATTTGGGTGACAAGTTTTTGTTGTTGTTGTTGGTAGTGGGTTTGTTTGAGTGTTTTTCATTACTTGCTGAAATTTGAAAAGTGGAACATTTCCCTTCTGGCTTCTCTGGAAAAACTGGAAGAACAGGCACTTTGGCCCCACATATCTGCCTGGCAGAAGTAGAGGCTGTCCACTCTGGGCAAGAACGACAGCCGCACTTTTCAACAGCTTCACCCCACGCACTGATTTTCCTAGCTGCTTCCCACAATGTCGAAATCTCAGTTGCAGCCCTAGACTTACAGTATAGGGACACTGAATTGCTCGTTTCCTTCTACATAGAGCACTTTTTCTCCTTTTACACCCATCCCTCATGGCTCAGTTCCTCTCACTTTCCTCCACGAGCTTTTCTCTGAACCAGTGAAGGATTATAAGTCCCTTTCTGTATTCCCATATCGCACCGTACATTCTCCGTCACATCCCATGCCACATTATACTCAGATGAAATATTTGTGTAATCCTTGAGTTCCTCACAAGACTCACCTCGGGAAGGGAGCGACTGGAAATTCTCAGTAAAGATTTCTTAAGCCATTCATTTTATTCATCCATCATTCCGTCAACACCCATGAAGAGGGAGGCGATATTCAACTCCTATCTTAAGGGATAAGAACGTCCCTCGTGAAATTCCGCGAAACGCGGCTGGTTCGGTGGAAACAGTGTGCAAGAGAACTGCAATTCCCATCAGGACCTTCGGGATCCCCGCCCCTGAAAGAGGAAATATAAATTGAGGACTACCACTCCCGTGATGCTCCGCTTCGGACGCCTGCGCAGAGTCTAGGGCCACGTCGCTTTCGCGGCGCTGGAGACCACGCACCTCAGCCATGGCTTCCGCGGACACCCGGCGGGTGGCGAATGGCGGCAGTGTCGGGGGAGGCTTCCAGCCCCACCTAGACTACTTGCGGCAGGAGCTGCAGCAGAGGGACCCGACACTGCTGTCAGTAGTGGTGGCGCTTCTCGCGGTGCTGCTGACGCTGGGTAAAGAGGCGGTGGGTGGTTTTGACGGGTGTACGGCCGGCGGGGTTCCGAGCTTGGACTTGGCTTGTGCAGATCGCGGACGCGGGGCGGCGAAGGCACCTGGGGGGCATCTAGAAGGGAGACTCATCTCTTATACCAGCCTGCCTTGGTGCCTGAAGCACGGGGAGTAACGTTCCATTAAAGAAGATTGCCTGCGACACTTGGAGTGACGTCCTGGTCCTTGGGGGCGCGGGTTATTCTTCCTTTATGGGCCCTATTACGCCTGAGCGCGCGGTCCTTCCCTCCTCCCGGACCCCCCCCCCCCCCCCCCCCGCTTCTTTGCTCTTACTGCCAAGACTCACGCGGTCTTCACTCCAACAAATTTGCGTCCTGGGCGCTGCGGATACACAGTTAGTAAGTCAAGATTGCACTTGAGAAGTCCACGATCCGCAGACACAGAAAGGTTGACAGTTGAATAGTGGCTGGCCCTTAGAGGAGTCCCTAATGATAGAGTAGAAGGTTAGTAGACAGGAGGTGGAGGCAAGGACGTTGATAAGTGGGTTACACATTGAAAGCCTGGGGGCACAACATCACATTTATGGGAATCCAAGAACCCAGACCTCCGTTCACTCAGCTTGGACTCTCCCACCCGTAACACTAACAACAGTAATGATTATAGTGATGGTGAAAACAATAAAAGTTAAGTTCCAGCTGAATGAGGTGTTCTGTGATTAACTTCTGTTAATTTCCCTACCCCAACAATACAGGTGTACTGTTGATGATCAAGGCATAATTTTGGTTGTTTTTCTCTATTCCGCAGTGTTCTGGAAGTTCATCCGGAGCAGAAGGAGCAGTCAAAGAGCTGTTCTTCTTGTTGGCCTGTGCGACTCTGGGAAAACATTGCTCTTTGTCAGAGTAAATGCTTTGATTTATACCTCTTCTAAAGTTAATAGGAAATGTTAGGCCATATCGTTATTCCTGTGAGGTCGTAGTTCATTCTGGAAAGGAAGCTGATGCTCACAATTTGGGGGTTAATTCTTGACTCACTTGGAAAGACTTGAAAAACTTGAACAGGCTCTTGAAAAATTCATGAACTGGGATTTCTTGACCGTTTCTGTTTTCTTGCACTTGCCAGTTACTAACATTTAGTATTTATCTCAAAAGTTACATAGTTTTATGGAACTACTTTCCTGTGGTGTCCAAGGATGCCAGAACAGCTGAAGAGATAGAAGACCGTGATCTGTATAGGGTGTATAATCTTGTTTAAGAAACTTGTCTGAGAACTTGTCAAAGAAGTTTTTTAAAAGGTTGATTCTTTGACATATTGGGCCACTTAGCCATCTTTTCACTAATATTTAACCTACTATTTTAAACAATTTTTCGTTATGGAGAGAAGCAGAGGTTTTCTTATTATTCTTCCTTTTGAGAAGATAAGCTATTTCCTTTCTACTACAGAAATGTAACTTGTAATCATTTGTGATGATTAAAAATGTTTATGGAAGTTTGGTGAATTTGGCCACTAAGGATTTGAAACTAGGTTTTTTGTTTCTGTTTTTTTGTTTTGTTTTGTTTTGTTTTTTTGTTTTTTATCGTGGAGGGGGGAATGAAGATGCAATGAATTAGATTTTTCTACAAGGGAAAAACAGTTGTTGCAAGCAACATTCATTTATTTGACCTGACCAACTGGAGAGTTAGAACAAAATTACTCTCTTTAGGTTTGCTATTTACCCTGATCTCCCTCAAATTGTGTTTTTTTTTGTTTTTTTTTTTTTTTTACAGTTGTTAACTGGCCTTTACAGAGACACTCAGACATCTATCACTGACAGCTCTGCTGTGTACAGAGTCAACAATACCAGGGTAAGGGGTTTGTAGAATGTTGGGAGTCTGACAATTTTACTTTGGTGCATCAGGGAAGGATATTTGTTATATGAATTAGTCTGATGGTTTAGGTACCATTCATAGCTTATTTTTATGGATAGATAGAGTTCATGTGACAAATTCTGCTTTTGGTCATCCAAGCAATCTTGCCATCCCCTGTTTTGTTGTACTTCATACACACTGATGTTATATCATTTTACTAGTTTTTGTTTCTATGTCTTCTTTCCAACTTTACCATGAGTTCTAGAGGGTGAGCATTAAGCCTTTTCCTTTATATTTTGAAGTGGTAATATATGTATATGGGACAAAAATTCAAAAGGTTAAAAGGAATATTCAGTGAAAAGTAATTTTGCCTTTCCTGTCCCTACTAGGTCTTCTCCTTAGAGGTAATAACTTACTATTTTCCTATGGGCTCTTCAGATGGTGTGTGCATATGCAAACCTATCTATACATCTGTTAATTTTTTTTCTTAAGATTTTATTTTTAAGTAACTTCTTCACCCAACACAGGGCTTGATCCCACAATGCCGAGATCAAGAGTTGCCTGCTCCACCAGCTGAACCAGCCAGGCACCCCAATTATTTTCTTTCTTAATTCTTTGTTCTGCCCACTGTTTTTTGGTTTTTTATTTTATTTTTTATTTTTTTAATTTTAATTTTAAAATTTTTTTAAAGATTTATTTATTTTAGAGAGCAAGAGAGAGCATGAGCGAGAGAGAGAAAACACCCATGCACAAGCCAGGAGAGGGGCAGAGGGAGAGGTGAGAGGAGGCTCTCCAGCAGACTTCTTGCTGAGCATGGACCCTGAGCTGGGACTGGTTCCCAGGACCCTGAGATCAGGATCTTAGCTAAAACCAAGAGTTGGGTGCTCAGTCCACTGAACCACCCAGGTGCTCTATATTTTATTTTATTTTATTTTTTAACAGTATGACTGATACAGTTGTATTGTTTTGTTTTTCTCCCTCATTTGTACACATAGTACCACCTGGTTGATTTGTGAGCCACATAGTATTCCATTATGTGGCTGCATCATTCAATTAAATTCTTGTTTAAGAACTCTGTTAACAAACATTTAGTTTGTTGTTACAATCTTTTGCTTTTACAATGTTGCAGTGGACATCTTAAAGAGTATACATGAGTATATTTCAAAAATACCAGTAAGGAAATCATGAGAAGAACGTTTTATGTACCTATTTAGCTCCAGAGTATGGATAGTGACTGCCAAGTCTATTGTAATGAATAAGTATTTGGTGAGTGGAAGAAAGGCTGGGGGCTCGTTGGAGGGGTAGGTGTATAGATGAATGAATGAGAATGGTTAAGAGACCTTTTCTCCTTCTCTGTGCCCCTTGCCCCTTTTCTGGTGCCTCCAGAATTAACATCGTAAACAAAGATAGACATTCTTCTAGATATCTTACAGATATTTATTGCTTTTTTTTTTTTTTTCAATAATGGTACTCTTTCTAGCCCAGTCCTTTTTAAACTCCCAAGATTTTACATTTTGAAAGGTCAGATTTGGGAGATCTTTAATTCTTGGGGGACTTGTGCCAGATTTTTTTAAGTGGGATATTCCTGGGCATACTTTAGACCCTTACTTTACAATGGAATAGCCATTGGCTGTGTGAGACATATTGAGCATCTGAAATGTGACTAGTCCAAATTGAGGGGTTCTGTAAATGTAAAGTGTACACCAGATCTTGAACTTGGGATGAAAAAGTAAAATATCAACAATTTCTTGATTTTTTTTTTCCTTGTTTAAAAGATACTTTAGATATGTTGGGTTAAATAACATATATTATTAAATTAACTTTGTATCTTTTTACTTTTTTCCTTTCCTTAAGTTTTCCTTGGAAAACTTAAAATCATATATGAAACTTGCATATTTTTACTGAAAATGTAGCGGTGCGTGGGTGGCTCAGTTGGTTAAGCAGCTGACTCTTGATTTCCACTCAGGTCATGATCTTAGGGTTATGAGATTGAGCCCTACATATGGCTTTCTGCTAGGCATGGAGACTGCTTAAGATTTTCTACCTTTCCCTCTGACCCCGCCCCCTGCCTACTCATGTGTGCTCTTTCTAAAAAAGAAAAAAGGAAATATAGAACATTCCTCCCTTCTTTATTACCTCCTCCCACCCACCCCCCTCATATGTTTTGGATGTAGTCTGTCTCTCTCAAGTTAGTAATGTGTCTAATATTGTGTCTTTTGAATTGCTTGTGGTGGTATAGTGGTGATTATGAAATGTTGTCCGTAGACTTTTATCAGTATTTTTTTTAAAGCTACCATACATCATATTTTTACCCATGAAAGACTGCACAGACTACATGATGGCTCATAATGAATCCAACTGTAATTATGTGAGATCAGTGCATGATACTGACTCCCTCCTGCTGAACAGTGGTTAAGGCTGGCTATGGATGAGGTAGAACATCTGAGGAATGTTCGTGGGCCTGATAATTGCACCAGGGTTATATCAGAGTCCTACTGAGCACAGCTACATCCACACTGAACCTGAGCTCAAGGCCTGAAATGAATAGCTCTTAGGTGGGTGCTTAATGAGTCAGCTCAGTATGGGCAGAACACCTCACTGTTTGAGTGATTGACACAAAATATTGACAGTTGGAACAAATAAACGGTGTGTCTATTTGGCAGATATTCAAAAGTTAAATTAGAGTGGACATGTAAAGGAATGTTTTGTTTTTACAAAGGTTGGGGATCCCCGTAATGGTAACATGCTATATAATAAAGTATAGATCTCCTGTCACATCATTTGGTTTGTGAATATTTACTGCTGTTTTCACATGTTTTTGTTTTTATTCATACTAATGTATTTCTCCAGGCTCAGGTGGACTACACTTCTATGACTCCCCCAGATAGGGTCATTTTCTCATATACCCTGGGAACATTTATCAAAATTGTAATTTTACATTTATTTGTAATTTTACATTGTGTTGATATTTCTGATTATATTATAAACCCTGTTGGAATAGGGATTATGTTTGTTTTTGCTCACTGTTAAATCCCCGGAGCCTCTACTAATGATTTATAAATACAGGATGCTTTGTGAACATTTGTTTGATTCATTAATTAATTATGGTGAACATTTTTTTGATTCATTAATAAAAATGGATGCTGTTCTGGTACCTGAAATCTCATATGAGAAGTTTATGTTGTGAATGTGAGCCAGGACCAAAACACTGATTTAATGTTATTGCTGCCATCCTTAGGCCACTAGCCTGACCTTGATTGATCTCCCAGGCCATGAGAGCTTGAGACTTCAGTTCTTAGAGCGTTTTAAAGCTTCAGCCAGGTAAGTAGGATTTGGAGTGAATTTGCCTGAATCTCTTACCAGTGCCACCCATACTTGCACTGGTGGGGAAAAGAGCATGGACCCTGGAGTCAACCATTTCTGGGTTGCAAGCCCACCTGTACTATGATTTTATGAAGATTTTATGAGATAATGTTTGAAAGTATTTTTTTTTTTTAAGATTTTATTTATTTGACAGAGATCACAAGTAGAGAGAGAGGAGGAAGCAGGCTCCCTACCTAGCAGAGAGCCCGATGTGGGACTCGATCCCAGGACCCTGAGATCATGACCTGAGCTGAAGGCAGAGGCTTAACCCACTGAGCCACCCAGGCAGCCCTGAAAGTATTTCTTAAGAGTGTTCAGAAAGTGTTAACCCTCACCATATTAGTAAATTTTTCATTTACTTTGAGGACAAATTTTAATGTGTGGAACTATTAAAATCTGAAAAATGAATTGGAAGGCTAGGTGAAATCCTAGAAGTTATTTAAATTCAACATTATATATTTCTGTTCTTAAATTACCTAAATTTAGTGTCTCAAAAGTAGAGAACAAATTTTTATATTTCTTTTACTATTGTCCTAATGTTACTCTTAAAATTCTTGTGCTGCAGTTGAAGATACTTGTTTCTTATTTTGTCTCTAACACTGATTAAGAACTTAAGAGGAAAATCAATATACCACATTTCATTGATATTAACATATTTTAATATCTGTGAAATTTGAATGCTAGTTATAGTTGTTTGTGTCATAGTATAATTGGTAGTATTTTCCCTTTCTTAGTTGTACTTGAAATAATAATGTGTCTTTTAATTGGTGGAATCTTAGGTTTGATGGAATGAGGCAGTTGTTTCTTTCCTTATTTTTGAAGATGTCTTGACTTTTATTTTGTTGTTGCTTCCTTGCCCACAAGATGGTGGTGATGAGCAATCTGTCTGTTCTGCAAATTAAAAAAAAAAAAAAAAAAAGACTATTTTTTAGAGCAGCTTTAGGTTCACAGCAAGATTGAGCAACAGGTCCAAAGACTTCCTATTTACTCTGCTCTCCACACACATGCATAGCCTTCCCTGTTATAAGCATCCTTCTCCAGAGTGGTTCGTTTGTTACAACTGGTGAACTCCTACACCGACACATCGTAATCATTCTGAGTCTGTGTTTTACATTAGTATTCACTCTTGGTGTTGTATATTTCTACACATTTGAACAAATGTATAATGACGTATTCACCATTTATAGTTTCATACAGAGTATTTTCACTGCCCTAAAAATCCTCTGCATTCTGCTAATTCATCCCTCTGTTCCCTAATTCCTGACAGCTACTTAAATCTTTTGATGGTCCCCACATGGTACTTTTTTTCAGAATATCATGTATTTAGAATCATACAGTAGGTAGCCTTTCAGGTTGGCTTCTTTTACTTACTAATATGCATTCGAGTTACTTCCATGTTTTTTCATTGTTCAATAGCTCATTTCTTTTTAGTGCTGGATAATATGTCATTGTCTGGAGGTACCACAGTTTATTTGTCCATTCACCTATTAAGGACTTCTTGGTTGCTTCCAAGTTTTGGCAATTCTGAATAAAGCTGCTGTAAACTTCCGTGTGCAGGTTTTTGTGTGGACATAAGTTTTTGGGTGAATATCAAGGACTGCAGTTGAGGAGCCATATGGTAAGAAATATGTTTAGTTTTGTGAGAAATTGCCAAACTGTCTTCCAAAGTAGCTATACCATTTTGCACTCCCACCAGCAATGTATGAGAGTTCCTCACACTCCAGTGGATGAGAATTGCTCTGCATCCTCCCCGGCATTTAATGTTGTCAGAGTTCTTGATTTCAGCCGTTATAGTAGATCCATAGTGATATGTAACTGCTTTAAGTTGCATTTCCCTGATGACATTGATAGGTTGTGGATCATCTCTTCATATACTTATTTGCTGTCTATAGTTTGGCGAGGTGTCTAAAGATCTTTGACCCATTTTTTAATTGGGTTGTTTTCTATTGTTGAGTTTTAAGAGTTCCTTGTATATTTTGGATAAAGTTCTTTATCAGAAATATGTTTTGCAAATATTTCCTCCCAGTCTTTGATTCATCTTCATTCTTTTGATGGTGACTTCTGTAGAGCAGAAATTTTTATCTTTAATAAAGTTCAGTTTATACTCTTTTTTTCCCATGAGTTATGCCTTTAGTGTTGTATCTAAAAAATCATTGCCAGACCCAAGATGTCTAGATATTCTCCTGTGTTCTCTCTCAGGAGTTTTATGATTTTGTGGTTTACATTTAGATATGTGATCCATTTTGAGTTAATTCTTGTGAAAAGGATATGGCCTGTATCATCTGTTCATTGTATGTATTCATTTTTTTACACATGGATGTTTTGCTGTCCCAGCATTGTTTGAAAAGATATCTTGTTCTGTTGTACAGATCTTACTCAACGATGAGGTTACATTCTAATAAACCTATAGTGAGTTGAAAATATCTCCAGTTGAAAATGCATTTAATATACCTACTGAATGTCATAGCTTAGCCTAGCCTACCTTAAATGTGTTCAGAACCTTAACACTGGCCTATGGTTGGGCAAAATCATCTAACACAAAGTCTGTTTTATAATAAAGTGTTGAATAGATCCATGTAACTTGTTGCATACTATACTAAAAGTAAAAATCAGAATGGTTGTGTGTATTAGTTGTTTACCCTCTTGATCCAGTGCCTGACTGGAAATGGTGGCTCAGGGCCAGTATCATGAGATTGTACTCCATATTGCTAGCCCAGGAAAAGATTAAAATTCAAAATCTGAAATATGGTTTCTGTTGAATGTGTATTGCTTTTGCACCATTATAAGGTAAGAAGTTTTAAGTTGAACTATTTTAAGTCGGAGACCATAGTAGGGGTCTCTTTCTGGACTTTATTCTGTTCTACTGATCTCTACTGATCAGGACCATGCTTTCTTGATTACTAAAGCTTCATAGTAAGTCGAGCAGTTGTCAGTCCTCCAGCTTTGCTCTTCAGTATTGTGTTGGCTATTCTGGGTCCTTTGCCTCTCCATATAAATTACAGAATCAATCTGTCAACATCCGCAGTAAGTTACTAAGGTTTTGATTGGATTTCATTGGAATCTATAGATCAAGTTGAGAAGAACTGACATTTTGAAACTGTTTAGTCTTCCTATCTGTGATGGTGGAATATCTCTGTTTATCTAGTTCTGCTTTGATTTTGTTGATCAGTTTTGTAGTTTCCTCATATAGATCTTGTACATATTTTATTATATTTATACCAAAGTTTCATTTTTGGGGGGATGATAATATAAATGGTATTGTGTTTCTAATATTTTGTTGTTGTGGGTGCTGTTTTTTACTGCTATAGGATATGAAAGCCTCTCTCAAGAATGGGTTCATATTTCCTTCTGTTGGGGGCCCTTGGAGTTCATCGAATCTGGCCCCATTTTTATATAAATCTTCATCTTACGTCGTGAAAGAGTATAAATTCATACCCCCGACCCCCAATCTGTGTGGCACAGGAGGCCTGGTATTTAAGTTCTTTTGCATTATTTTCCGACACCTCCCTCCACTAGACAGGTTTTAAGTTGTAGACTTTGTGCAGAGGGTTCAGTTCCAGCTCCCAGACTGCATGTTGGCCATTGCTTGTTTCCAGCTACTCCTGAGCATTCAAACCCTGGTCCCTACAGTCTGTTATCTGTTCTTTCTCCTGAACTGCTTTGCTTTAGCTTTGATACCTCTTTACTTGCGCCACATGAGGATTCTCACTGTTGCTGCCTTAGGTTGGGCCCTACCAGATCACTGTGCTTCTAGTTTGGTTACCCTCTTAGATTTATCTGTCTTCCATGAAACACCAATATTCTTTGTAATTGAAAGGCACAAACTCTGGAGGTCAGTGTCATTCCCCTTTGCTGCTTGGCCTGGTTTCCTCCCTGTGTACCAGCCTACCTTGAGCTCTGTAGGCCACGCTGTTCCACTCCTTTGTGCTCTGCACAAACTACTTTCCAGGGAGTCTGTGTCCCAATTTTTTTGTCTGGCTAAAATTCAGCCCAGCTGTTGACACCCTCCATTAAGTCATCTTGACCTATTCTCATGTAAACGGTCTTCTTGTTTGTTCCCGTTGGTGCATAGGTATGTTTTAGCATTTTATGACACAGTTTTGTATATGATGATTTCCTGGTCTTTGGGGGCAGGCATGATTTCCTTTTTTATCTTTTTGGATTATTCATTGATAATACGGTAACACTCAGTAGTCCTTTGTTTTTTGTTGTTCTTGCATTTTTATAAAACTTGATAAAAATTATTTCAAACTGTACAGTCACCAGAAGTACATAGTTAACCAAAAATGCACACACTTGGCATCTCCTCAGTAGTCCTTTGTTAAATGAGTATTTGTATGGTGTGATTATGTATGTGCACAGTTGCATTTGAGCCTGCTATGTGTTACTAATTAGGATTGAATTGGATGAAATTAAGGATATAACTTTTCAGTATAATGCTGCACTCCTGCATGCTTACATGCTGGTTTTTCTTTCTCCTCCTCCAGGGCTGTTGTGTTTGTTGTGGACAGTGCAGCCTTCCAGCGAGAGGTGAAAGATGTAGCAGAGTTTCTGTATCAAGTCCTCATCGACAGTATGAGTCTGAAGAACACACCATCATTCTTAATCGCCTGCAATAAGCAAGGTGCCATCATGTTTTCCAGCAATAATAATTGAGATTTTTCTGGGATTGCTACTAAGAGCTAATGCATTTGTTATTATTGAGGATGAGAGATGATTGTTAAGGAACTATGAAGGATTTTAAATCTAAAAATTGTTTATATACCTGCATTTTTATTAGTTTTTTTTTTAATTTTTTATTAATTTTGTTAGTTTTACCAGTCTGTTTTAAGGAGTGTCTATTACCAGTTTTTCTTTGATATAGTGTTTTACATTTCACAAAATTATAAATCATTTTACTTTATTTACCAAGTTAAGTTTGTCCAGATTCACAGTATGTCCTATCACACACAATTGTGGAGGGCCAGGGGACCATCTATCTTTTCAGACAAATTTACCTTCTAGCACATTTTATCAAGGAGGGTTTGCACAAGTTGTGTTTTCTTTAACCTCATAACCATTAAACATTTTCTATCACACCCAGTAATCTGAGGCTTCAGTTTCATTATCTCTAACATAAGATAAACTAGTTGATTTTATAGTGTTCTTTCAGATTAAAATTCTGATTCTACAGAGAGCCTTTTGCATTTTTCGGAAGTGATCAGGTAGGAATAACCCTAACAATGCCTAATCAGGAAGTGGTGTTAGGATCATTACCTGGCCTCTCCGTTTCTTCTCTTTGGTATAGGAGAGAAAGTGATATTTATTTGGCTTTTGCTGGGTGCCAAACCAGCAAAGAGGGTGTTCCTCTCTTACCAAGGGGCAATTAAGTGACTTACTATCTTAGTATCAGCTGGAAATGTGCTTAGTTTACTTTTATATGACAAGTAGGATGTTTCTGTTTACAATCAAAAAGCTGGTAGGTTTTCTCTCTGATACACTGGCTGGACTTAAATATATTTTGATTTAAAAGGTCTGTAAGATGTAGAAACTTTCATGAACTAGTCAATTTTAGGGATATGAGCTTAATATATTTGTAAGCATTATTATAGGAAAACCCATACCTGAAAATTAGAAAGCTTATTTTAGTAGTTAAGCTACTAATGGTAAAAAGCTCTTTAGGAAAAAAAAAAGGGGGGGGAAAGAAACTTATTGGTTTAAATTGGAATTTTCCATATGTGCAAGAGGTCTTGGGAAAAGACCCTTTCTGGTTTAAACTATAACAATGTCTTTATTTCTTTACAGACATTACAATGGCAAAATCCTCAAAGTTAATTCAGCAGCAGCTTGAGAAAGAACTGTGAGTATGAATAAGTCATATTGATTAATGTAGATTTTAACACTTAGGAAATTTGAATATATTGCTTAAGGTCTTTGGTTGTATATAATTATCATAGCCCAAAGAATAGTGTGACATATATTTATTAAGTAATTGACAAAATTAATGGAATTCTAAAAAGCATCAATGGGATGTTTATGGATACTTTAAAAATTCATGGAAAGAAAATCTCAGGTTTATTGAGACCGTAAGCTCAGTTTATTTTCCCACTGTTTCTAGTTCATTTATAGTAGATATGAAAGGTTTTAGAAACTAAAAAATTTGAAAGCCATGAAGGTGCCTGGGTGGCTCAGTTGGTTAAGCGACTGCCTTTGGCTTGGGTTATGATCCCAGAGTCCCAGGATTGAGTCCCGCATCGGGATCCCAGCTCCATGGGGAGTCTGCTTCTCCCTCTGACCTTCTCCCCTCTCATGTTCTCTCTCTCTCTCTCTTTCTCAAATGAATAAATAAAATGTTTAAAAAATTAAAAAAAATAATAAAAATTAAAAAAAAATTGAAAGCCATGGAAATTTTTGTTGACAAAATAAGGAAGGAATGTTTTAAAAGAATTTAAAAATCTATTATACTATTTTATAGCTTATTTTATTATTTTCTAGCTACATTGCAATATCATTTAGCTTATTTTAGTGTTTAAAAATTTGTAAAGTGAGCTAACTTTTTGAATTTCAAGAAATCTACTAGCATGTCTATACTCTCCCAGTTTGTAAGAGCTACAGCTTGCTTACCCAGGAGCTACCATCAATATTATATGAAGCAAGTAATTTTTTCTTGCTGCTGTTGTGTAGACTTTTTAATTTACGAAAAGAACCTAATGAGGAAAAATTGTGTAAATTCAACTTTGAGGGGGACCTGGGTGCTCAGTCAGTTAAGTGTCTGCCTTTGGAGTAGGTCATGATCCCGGGGTCCTGGGATAGAGTCCTATATCAGGCTCCCTGCTCGCCGGGGAGCCTGCTTCTCCCTCTGCCCTGCCCCCTGCTCATGCACTCTCTCTCAAATAAATAAAATCTTTAAAAAAAAAAAAATTCAACTTCGAGCACATTTTTTTCCCCACCAGGATTTACTTACTCATTTATACATTTAACATCTAGTATATGGCAAGCCCTGCTTTCAGGATGTGGCTGTAGGGGGAACTGTGATGTGGTTCCTGTACTCAGGAGCTGAGGGTTGACAAACTCCTGCTCAGGGTGTGCAAACAAGAAATAGTTTTACATATTTAAAGGGCAGGTTAAAAAAATAGGAAAAGTAGAATAATATGTGACAGAAACTAAATGTCACCCACAAGCCCAAAACATTTAATTTATGGTTTTTTACAGAAAAATTTTATCAGACCTGGTCTGTCATTTTCTGTGGTTTTTTTTTTCTTTTAACTGAGAATGATATATTAAATTCCATATGCTTTAAACTTTTTAATATATGAATAGAAGAGTAAAGTTAGCGGTTCAGTCAGATTTATCAAAGACCTCCTGCTTTCAAGTTGAATATCAAACAAGATTTTTTTAAACCCCTTTATGGGGGGCAGTTGATATGTAAAAAGCTGTGCATATTTAATGTGTACAACTCCATGCATTTGGGGATAAGTATCCACCTTTGAAGCCATCACCACCATCGAGGCCCTAAAAATACCATTATTTTGTAGTTTCCTCCTGCTCTCTTTATTGTTTGTGTTTGTGTGAGGGTGAGTGAAAGAAAGAGAGTGTTTCATGAGAATACTTAAGATCTATAGTATTGGCAGATTTTAAGTATATAGTGCAGTATTGTTAGCTATACACACTATGCTATATAGATCTCTAGTACATACTTATTTGCATAAGTGAACCTTTTTTTAAAAAAAGATTTTATTTATTTGAGAGAGAGAGTGGGGGGAGGGACAGAGGGAGAGGAAGTAGAGAGCCTACTTCCCTCCCTCCACGAGCAGAGAGCCCAACATGGGCTGGGATCATGCCCTTAGCCGAAGCCAGATGCTTAACTGACTGAGCCACCCAGACACCCCTGTATAACTGAAACTTTATAACTTTTGACCTAATAACCAAAGGCTCCCCATTTCTCCCTCTCCCCCACTCCAGTAACCACCATTCTACTCTACTTCTATGTGTTTGTTTTAGATTCCATATGTGTGATTATATATTATTTGTCTTAATTGGGTTTGTTATATCACTTAGCATAATAGGTTCATCCATGTTGTTGTAAATAGTAGGATTTCCTCCTTTTTCAGGGCTAAATAATATTCATTGCATGTATGTTCTACATTTTCTTCATCCATTCGTCCTTTGATGGACATTTAGGTTGCTTCCATATATTGCCTCTTGTAGTAATGCTCCAATGAACATGAGAGTGCAAGTACCCCTTCAAGAACCTGATTTTAATTCCTTTAGATAAATACCCAGAAATGGAATTGCTGGATCATATGGTAGTTTTATTTGTAATTTTTTGAGGAATCTTCATGCTGTTTTCCATAGTGGCTGTATCAGTTTACATTCCCACCAACAGTGTACCAGGATTGCCTTTTGTCTGCATCTCTACAACTTAACTTGTTTGTTTTGTTTTAATGTTAGTCACTATCTCAGGTGTGAGGGTATATCTCACGGTGCTTCTGATTTGCATTTCCCTAATGATTAGTTACGTTGTGTACCTTTTCATGTACTTATTGGCATTTGTGTCCTCTTTGGAGAAACATCTGTTCAGAAATGCCTATCCTTTGTCAATTTTTCAGTTGGATTATTTGTTGTTTTTTTTTTTTGTTAGTGACTTGTAGGAGTTTCTTATATATTTTGGATATTAACTCTTACCAGATATATGGTTTACAGGTATTCTCCAATTCCAGGTTATCCTTTTATTTTACAGATTGTTTCTTTTGCTTTGCAGAAGTTATTTAAATCAGCAGTCACATTTATGTTTCCTTCTGTTGCGTATGCTTTTGGTGTCATATCCAAAAACTCATTGCCACAGCCAGGGTCACTGAGATTTTCCTTTGTGTTTCCTTCTTGGGTTTTTATGGCTTAAGGTCTTATGTGTAAGTCTTTAATCCATTTTGAGTTGATTTTTGTGTACAGTATAAGCTAAAGGTCCAATTTTATTCTTTTGCTTATTGATAATCCAGTTTTCCTAGGACCATTTATTAAAAAGACTATCCTTTACCCATTGTATATTCTTGTCAGCCTTATCAAAGTTAATTGACTGTATGTGTGGGTTTATTTTTGGCCCCTCTACTATATTCTACTGGTCTGTGTATCTTCTTCTATCAGTATCATACTGTTTTGATTACTATAGCTTTGTTATATAATTTTAGTATATGTGCTGCCGAAGCGAGCACTGTTATATAATTTGAAACCTGCAGGTGTGATGCTTCCATCTTTTTTGTTTTTACTCAAGATTACTTTTACTATTATGGGTCTTTTTGTGGTTCCATATGAATTCTATCATTGTTTCTTCTATTTCTGCAAAAAATTATTCCATTGGAATATTGATATTGCATTGCATCTGTAGAGGGCTTTGCATCATACAGACATTTTAACAGTATTTAATTATTCTAATTGAGGAACAAGAATATCTTTTCCTTTATTCTGTCTTCAGTTTCTTTCACAGATGTCTTATAGTTTTCAGTATATAGATCATTTGCCTACTTTAGGGTTTACATTTACACTTAAGCATTTTATTTTTGATGCTTTGTAAACAGGATTGGTAATTCCTAATTTCTCTGATAGATCATTAGTAGGGTATAGAAACATAACTGATTTTTGTATGTTGATTTTGTATCCTGCAACTTTACTAAATTTTTTAGTAGTTCTGTTTCTTTGGTGGTGATTTAGGGATTTATATATATAAGATTAAGTCATCTGTGAACAGAGATAATCTTCTTTTTGATTTTCATGCTTTTTATTTCTTTCTTTGCCTAATTGCTTTCTCTAGGTCTTACAGTGCTATGCTGAATACACGTGATAAGAGTGGGCATCCTTGTTTTGATCTTAGAGGAAAAGCTTTCAGCTTTTCACTGTTGAATATGCTATTTTCTGTGGGCTTGTCATATATGACCTTTATTATTTTGAGCTATATTCCTTCTGTGCCTATTTTGTTGCATTTTAATCATGAAAGGATGTTGATTTTTGTCAAGTGATTTTTCTTTATTGAGATGATTGTATCATTTTTATCCTTCATCCTGTTAACGTGATGTATTACCTCTATTGGTTTGTATATGTTGAACTGTCTTTCCATCTTGAGTAAATCCCATTTGATCATAGTGTACAATTCATTTAATATTTGTACTGTTGAATTTGGTTTGCCAGTATTTTGTTGAGGATTTTTGTACCTATGTTCATTAGGTATTTTGGCCTATACTTTTCTTTTAGTATCCTTATCTGGCTTGGCTATCAGGGTAAGGCTAGCTAAAACGAGTTTGGAAGTGTTACCTCCTCTTTAATTAGGAAGAGTTTGAGAAGAATTGGTGTTGATTCTTATTTAAATGTTGGTAGAATTCACCAGTGAGCCATCACATCTTCACCTGTTCTTTGCTGGTCATTTTTGATTACTGATTCAGTTTCCTTCCTCATTATTGGTCTGTTCAGATTTTCTGTTTTTCAAGATTCAGTTTTGGTATGTTGTGTGTTTCTAGGAATTTATCCATTTCTTCTAGGTTGTCTAATTTGTTAATAGACTCTTATCCTTTGTATGTCTGTTGTATAAGTTACCCCTTTCATTTCTGATTTTATTAATTTTAGTCTTCTCCTTGCTAAAGGTTTATCAATTTTATCTTTCAAAAAACTCCTCTTAGTTTCATTGACATTTTCTATTGTTTTCTAGTCTGTATTTCATTTGTTTCTGCTCTGATGTTTATTTTTTCCATCCTTCTGCTAGCTTCGGGGTTAGTTTTTTCTTTTTCTAGTTTCTGGAGGTGTCAACTTAGATTGTTTATCTGAGATCTTTCTTTTTTCCTAGACTAGATATTTATTGCTATAAACTTCCTCTTA